GCTCAGCCAGTGCGGGAACCGGTCTGTATGTGGGATCCGAACCCTCGGGCGGGAGCGCCGCTGCGCTTCCCAAGCGGCGCACTTATCCAGTGCGCCACCGGGCTGGCCCTAGATCACCCTTTTAGAATCTTCAAAGTCTAACCATGGTATAGTTGATATGAGTCAAGATACAGAGTCCAAAAACAAGAATTTTTTTTTTTGGCAGATTTTTTTTTCAGTATCTAACTGCACGACATCCCAATTCTCCAAAATCAACTCCTCTATTAAATCTTCTTAAAATATCCCCTCTGATAATGGGAAGACGTGATAAAGCAAACAGAGCAAAATGCTGATCACAGAATCTAGTCGGTGGGTATGTGGGTGTTGACTATACGATTCTTTCAACTTTTCTTTATGATGAAATTTCTAATATTAAGATGTTGCAGAAAAAAAAAAATTCCTTCTGATGACATATAGGAACTGCCTTGGTATCAGGATTCCTGACAAAACATCTCCTTTCTAGGAAGACTACGTACAATTATAAGATAGAGCTACCTGGTGATACAGAGGTGAAAAAGTAGGAAGTACTTAAATTAGATGACTAATGGAAAAGAAAGAACCATACAAAGGGTGGATTTAAGGTTTCTAAAAATGGCTTCCTGGGCCGGCCCGGTGGCGCACTGGATAAGTGCGCCGCTTGGGAAGCGCAGCGGCGCTCCCGCCCGAGGGTTCGGATCCCACATACAGACCGGTTCCCGCTCACTGGCTGAGCGAGGTGCGGGAGCAACACCGAGGGTTGCAGTCCCGTTGCCGGTCCCCAGTCCGGTACGGGGGCAACACTGAGGGTTGCGATCCGTTGCCGGACACGGAAAAAGACAAAAGACAAAAGACAACAACAACAACAACAAAAAAGGCTTCCTGGGCTGGCCCAGTGGCGCACTCGGTAGAGTGCAGCGCTCCCGCTGAGGGTTAGGATCCCATATAGAGACTGGTCCGCTCACTGGTTGAGCGTGGTGCAGGCGCGATACCGAGGGTTGCGATCCCGTTACCGGTCACAAAAAAAGACAAAAAGGAAAAAAATAAAAAAATAAAATAAAAATGGCTTCCTGATTTTCCTCCTTAACCCAACCCCCCACATTTTCCTGGGATGACCATTTGAAATTTAAAAAAAAAAAAAGGTCAGAAAGAAAGATGGAACCCAATGCCTGAAGAGGAAAACACACAAAGATAATTCACGAAGAGCTTAAATAAATTCATGGATCATGCCATCAATGGAAGTAGAGAGTAAATGGTGCACAACTCCTGTAAGAATGACTTCACGGAAGGCATTTATGATGCTCAACTAAAAAACCCCTGGACAGCAATGTGTAAGCTAAACACTAGGCTACAAAGACCACTACCCATCTGGACACCACTGTGTATAATAATGTATAAAAGAAGGGTTTCAAGTCATTCACTCCCAGCCTTCTAGTTAACCAAAGAGAAAACAACGCTATTAAAAATGATTGTAAATATTTAAATGTAAGGTGCTGTCTTCCCTAAATAAAGCTGAGAGAAAAATCTTGGGGCAGAGGTCCCCCAAATAAAAGTTATAGGCCTTGTGTTCAGGAAGGACTATCTTAGAAGTAAAAGTATCAAACCTTATCTCATATTTTATACGCAATGCCAATTAAATTTCTATATAGGAAATAATCCATTAGAAGAATATGGAGTAACTGATCCTAATTATAATATGGTATAACACAGTTTTAAACCATAATTCCTAAGAATATCTTTTAAATGAGAAAGCTTGCAATTTGTGGAAACTAAATCAATTTGCCTTCGCTGCTTAAACTGTCCCTTGTTTCAAATTCCACATTACGTGGCTTCTTAGCCCAACAAAATTTAGACCTATCCTTACAGCTTTAAGAACTTTTGAATAAAAGAACATCCCAACTATATCATGAATGGAATTTATTCGGTTAAAAGCAAAGAATTATTGGTATGGAAAACTATGTATCTAGACTTTTCACTAAAGTAACGTTTGCTACATATCATCCTTTATTTAAAGTAATATGGCTTTAACTTTTTTATAAAGGTACATTTCACTTCTAATATTGCTTAGCCCTAGTTAATATCTATGTTAAATACAGTATTAAAAAGCCGACCAAAAACTCAAGGCTAAGAACTGTGTTTTCTATGCCTAATACTCCTTCACACAGCCTCACAGTAGTAGAAACAGCAATAACAATAATGGTACCTGGAATTTACTAAGCACTTAGCAAGGGGCCAAGCACCTATGAGGCACTTAATACCGAGGACTTTGTTCAGTCTTGTTTCCCTTTGAGGCATCTCTCTTGGGGGATGAGTGATGTGCTCTGGATTATCCATCCCATGAGTAAGTGGTGGGGTGGGGATTTGCCGGGAGGATCCAGATCCCATAGTAAGCATTCAACAAGTACCTGACTAGATTTTAAAAAGACAATACAAATGGTAGAGGTCATAATCTATTACTACGAAATAAACTAAATGTATCTGCTGTGCTTATGTTTTAGTTTTAGAAATTTTCGAATAAGAAAATTACATACTATGGTTGGGTATTGAATTACCAGCAATTTACTTTTTAAAAAGGTAGTAGCACTTCATATTCTAAGCATTATTGGTTCAGCATTCTTAACTTTTAAAGGAAATTCAGATAACTTTAAATGTTAAGATAAAGTCACATGTTTTGTTAATTTACTACATAAAAGGATCAAAACTTCATTTAAACTAACTCACTGATTTCACTATCAAACCAATTAACTGAACATTTTTTCCAAAGTGACAAAGTAAAGCTTTCTTTTAAAAGATTAAAACAAGCAGCATACATATTCCTAAGTAAGTGAAACTCACAGTTTTTAGTTATATACATAGAACTGTGAAGTGTTAATAATCCTTCACATTTGTGAGATAAATCCGAGACAGGCATCTTACAAAAATCAGTTGTCTAATTGTCCTTCTTGCGTCTGAGTTATAGAAACAATTTCAAATGTCTAACTAAAATTACCTAAATAAGCTGAAAAAGAAAATCCATAAATTCATTTAGAGGAATAAAAGCAAAATCAGTCCTAATGATAAGTTTGGGGATTAACCAAAAGTTAACAGTGATGCCAGAACTCTTCCTTCGACTTTACGCAACTTGAAAATGCACCAGTTGCGTTCTGAGTTTGATGAAACTGGTAGTAATTCTTCCAGCTTCCTCGTTAACACTAACCTACACAAGCAATGCTGAGACGCGCAATTTTGCTCGGATTACACTGAGATTCTTGTTTCTATGGGTGAAAAAAAAAAAAAAAAAAAAAACTGCATGAGACAAGTCTTGTCTTTCTCTCGGGCCTGAACCACCACAGACAGTAATGAAAAGAAATGCCTAGAGTCCCAGGGAGCCAGTTCTGCGACATCCCATACCTAACGCGTTAAGCGCAGGCCGATTCTTGCGGGGTTTTTTTAATGACCACACCACGTTCGAAGAAAAGAACAGTTTTCATCACCCCCGGCTCCTCACAGCTAGCATCTTAAAAGGTTTCTCCGCGGAAAGAGCGTAAATAACCATTTTAAGAACCCTAAAAGTGGCGAAGTACAAGTCGAAGAAACCTGGTCGTAAATAAGTTTGAGGTCACCAAAACGGCCCGTGCAAACATTCAGCGAATACGATCTGTTTAGCCAGCACAGTTCTCGAGGGGGCTCGAGAGGGTAATGTAAGGACCCAGAAAAAGTGCAAAAGTCTCCAAGCCCGCCTAAAACCACGGGACGGGCGGCCGGCGTCCGGCGGGAGCGGGCTCGGGAAGAAAGCGGGAGGGTGGAGTTCACTCTCCCCCCGGGCAGCGAGCGGCGCTGCCCTCCCCCACTAAGGAGCCGGAACCAGGCCCGCGCCTATATGCCAAATGAGACAAGGTAGAGGATAGGAATGGGGAAGCTATGTCTTACCGTTAGTCTTTGGGGTCCTTTTAAGTCATATGCTTTAGGGATCTGTTGACATTTGCTTGATTTTTAGGACTAGGTTAAGACAAAGTTGGTTTTTCAACAACAAAAAAATGCCTGTTGAAGCCTGTCTACTCTGGAACGTTTATCTCTGGGTTTGTCTATCTACCCATTTGTTTAAAACTGCTACTCAACCCAAACATCTGTTCCGAGTGTGAGGTGCCATCCTGGGCACGTGTGTGCACATGCGAATATCCCTTAATAATGAAGAGTGTGAATTCACGATCTCCCAGTAAGCATTTCAGTAAGGCCTTCACCCTAAAAACTAAGCAGAGCATTTTGTACATGGTGGCTTCTGGAACATCATACACTAAGTCACTGAACAAACTACTTCCTAAAACATGCGTGATGAAAAATGAATACAGTCAAGGCCCCATGGGGGTGTGGATACTGTTGACCCGCCCTACCTCCCAGAGGTCATCCTCTCCTGCCCACTCACCCGGCGCCCATCTCGGACCCTCTGTACACAGTGAACTACCACCTGGGACCAGCTATTGTTCTCCAGTTTCACCTGAAAGAAATGGGGACAACCTTCCCCAAAGCTGTGAGCAACCTCAACGTCAAGCAAGAACCCCAACATGGAGGATATCGTATAACTTCGTATAATGTATGCTATACGAAGTTATTACGCTGGGCGCGGCCCGGCTTGGGGGTCTCCCTCGCCTCGAGGTCGGAGTTCGGACCCCGGAAGGATCCCCTCCACTCACCAACTCCCGCCGAGGCCACTCTAAGGGCGTTGATACTCTTTTTATGTGATAACTATAACTTATGCGATGACGTAAAGTCCTTCTAGAAAATTCGGAATCTAAAATTGTAAGAAAAAACCATGCACCATATCATTATTCAGCGAAAACCAGTGTTCCTGAGCCAAAATGTGCCGAACGTTCTTCTTTGTGTTTGCATTTTGTGTTCATTGTTTTTAACGCGTTGAGAGCTTGCTATGTTTTATCACTTGGTGCCAAGTCCTGGAGATACGGTCTTTTAGCAGACAGAGTAGAAGTGTGAATGCTTTGGTGAATTTCCTCAAGTTATTTCTTGATATATATAACAAACATGTTAAAACAAAATTAAGAGATCATACTGAATTCTTGCTACAACATTTTTAGTGGCTGCTTACTATTGCATTGTATATATGTACCTTAATTTAACTAACTCTCCTATTATTGAACACTTACTTGGGTTGTCTCTGATCTTTATGATAAACAGTGCTGACTGAGATTAACCTATTTGTGCAAAAATCTTTATCCATAGTCTACATCCTCCAGAATGGGGTTACTGGGTCCATAGGGGTGAAGATTTTCAAAGCTTTGCTACAAGTTGTTGCATTGCCTTCCTGGAAGGCGATATCCCATGAACTCTTTGACAATGGACCCTCTAGGGGAGTTGATTTCTGATGATATTCTCATCTTGTAGGCCTTCCCTTCCCATAACTCACTCTGTTGCCCAGTATCATAACAGTTTTCTGAAATCAGGCCTTTTCTACACAAGCTTTTTAAAACCATTTTTATCTTTTAATTATGTCAACATAATTATGTTCCCAGGGCAAAGGACAGCTTCTTTTTGTTCTGTTCATAAAGACCTCTCCTGAAGAGTAGTTGCAATATCAAAGGTGGTAGAGCAACAACATCCTCTTTGCTGTCACTGCTGATAAAAATGTCCAGAGAAGGGGCTGGCCAGTTAGCTCAGTTGGTTAGAGTGCGATGTTATAACACCAACGTCAAGGGTTCAGATCCCCGTACCAGACAGCTGCAAAAAAATAAAAATATTTCCGGAGAATCTATGACAGACCTAAGCTACATATAACTACCTTCATGTCTTTTGACCGGGAGCAAAGGAAAGGGTGGGACCTCAATTCAATAATCTAATTCAGTTGAACAAACATTTGAGTGCTGCTGTAGCATGATGGATTGGCAGTAAATGAACAAGACAGGGAGATGGTTGACATAATGCCAGGCCCTCTGTACTTAATGCTATAAGTGGGTTACAAATATGGTACTTATCAGGAGGCAAAAAACCGATATTCATGCTAATAAAAAGGCTTTCGTCAAAGAGATGAGAGTTGAAAGATGGGTCTGGGTAGGATTTTTGGTGGGTATTGATGGAGTGAGAAGGAAAGAGTTGTTAAATTAAATTTGGCCTAAAGTTGCCTCTGTATATAGAAAACTGCAACCTAGCTTAGTATTTAAACAAACTGCAATCTAATTTAAGAGTATATTCTTCCTTTTCTCTGGCTATAAATATGACCTGCACATGTAGTGGGGTGGAGCATTCTGAACTTTTTTTGGTCTGGACTGCTGTGGATTCTAGAATCACAAAGCCAATTAAGATCTACAAAACTAGATTCGTTATAGATTTTTTAATAGAGTTTTCTACAGAAAGAACAAAGTCCTGGAAGTCAGAGGCTGCAAGGCAAGCAGAAAAGTGGGCCTTCCACACAGAGGGAGCCAGGTGTTTAAGCTACTCCAGGTCTAGAACCCAGAGAGGCCATAGATGGCTGGATTATGGACTGCCTTAAGTATGGACTTTATTCTGATATGACTTGAGTCTTTGAGCCAATATATGACGCAACTACATTCAGATCATTATTTCTCTAGATTGATAAAGTGAAAGTCCACTATACAAAAAGTTCAACTGTGACTAAAAAATAACGAAATTAATGTACAACCCACACGTGAAAATCAACCTTAATTTAAAACTGAGTGATTACATTTCTCCAAGTTTGGCCTTCAGTATCTACTTGGAACGTTCCCCATGGCAACAAATAGTCTAAAAGTTAAATTTAGGGGCCGGCCCGGTGGCGCACTGGATAGTGCGCCGCTTGGGAAGCGCGGCGGCGCTCCCCCC